TGGTACAAACTTCCATTCAATTTCCCAAAATACAAAGAAGTACGAAAGTTACATGATCAAGTACAAAATGATAGAAGGGCTGTGCTACATCCCCCGAATTTGGGGGCCCCTAATCCCCCGAAAAATCAGAACAAGGCAAAAAAAAAAAATATGCCCAAAACAACGTCGTTTTGGGCATTAGGGGGATTAGGGAGGGCATTTTTAGGGGGACAAATCATTTTCCTATTTTCTATCATTGAGAAATGATTTGTCCTCCTAAAAATGCCCCCCCTAACCCCCCTAATGCCCAAAATGACGTCGTTTTGGGCATGTTTTTTTTTTTTTGCCTTGTTCTGATTTTTCAGGGGATTAGGGGCCCCCAAATTCGGGGGATGTAGCACAGCCCTTCTATCATTTTGTACTTGATCATGTAACTTTCGTACTTCTTTGTATTTTGGGAAATTGAATGGAAGTTTGTACCAGTTTTTGTTGTATTGTACTTCATGATGTAAGTAATGTTTATGGAATGAATTTTATTATGATGTAACTTATGTAACTTACTTAATAGCTTTGTGGAATGAATTTTATTATGGAATGAATGTACGGAATGAATTTTATAAGTTATTATGATGTAACTTATAATGTTAGTCTATAATGAATTTTGGGAAACGTTGGTGTCATTGTAAGAACTTTGTGGATGCTATTTGGCAGATCTGTGGACGAATTTTGTGGATGGTATGTGGATTCATTTTTGTGGATGCTATGTGGATGAATTTTGTGAATGCTTTGTGGATGACTGAATTTTGTCGGTGCATTGTCACTTATCTGTGGCCTGTTATCTGTTGCAAGTTCTCTTATCTGGGTGCATGAATTTTGGTTGTAATGAACAACTTCTGTTATGTGTTGCAGGTTTGTTTGTAATTAACAGATTTGGCAAATCTGTTATCTGTCAACTAGTATCTGTTTGTCACTTATCTGTGGCCTCAACTATTATCTGTTAGCAAGTTGAAAGCAGATATAGAATGCGTGGTACATTTCTTCACCATCGTGCTGACTTCTTCATTAATGAATATCAATACTTTGTTTCTGCATGGTCTATTGTATATTTTTTTGTTTGAAGGGGAGCTGATTAGTTCATAACAATGCACAATGGGAGAAAAATTGCTAATTCACAGGTTGACCCCATGGGGTATGCTTCCACACAACCGTTGTGTTTGAAAAAACATAACATTTTGTGCCCATATTGATGTTAAGAGTGTATGAGACCGTTGGCTGGTTGTGCACAATTTTTGTTTGCAATTACAGCTTGTGATTCCAGTCAATGATTCCGACACTTAAACCTTATTGTCCATATTGAACGATTCACAAACATGAAGTAATCAACAAAACATAGGTTAATGATAGTTTCTGATATCGGTCATTGACATTACAAAAAAATTACCTTGTCATCGTACCAACAAAAATCATAAGACAGCTTTTAGTCGAGGACGGTGACCCAAAAAAATACCTTCAACAAAGTGGACATGATGAAGACATTAACGCATGCACCGTTGCAATGGTTAGCAGAGTATGACGGTCTGTTAGTTTCTAAGTCGTTTATTTTCGCGCGACGATGCCATCTTACAAGACTACGCTTACTATGTCATACACATGTCCAGGTCTGCTAATCCTCGCTCAAATCAACAACCTCGGAGTCTGAGTAATTTGAAAGGTCAGGGTCCGACACCAGTGCAGGATCCTCCATTATAGCCTTGATCGCAGATGCCGGGTTCGATCCATGTATCTTCGACTCTGCCTTTGCGTCCTCTATTCGTGAGTTCCTAATGAGTCGACGAGTCATTTGATCAACCTCACTTTGCAAACGATGCCTAAGTTGGGAGTTGCTGACATGAGGGAATTGCCGCTGCATTTCAACCGATCGGGCTTTTGTGACCTTCAGAAAAGCACATCGACAGCGGTGTTCACACTGAGCTCGTTTCGCAAACAGTGAAACTGGAATTCCAAAATACTTCCCCAGGCAAGCATCTTGTATTGGGTTGCAGTTGTAATCCCGTAGAGGTTCAAAACTCCACAGTGGGAACCCTGTTTCAAAGAAACGTCGATCAACCGAAGGAATCGATATACCCACCTGCATAATCCAATTCTGGTGACTTCGGTCGGGAGCTGCCAGCCGTTGCAAGTGATTGTCCACGACCACGTTTACCGTGGTGTGCATCCATAGGTGTGAAGCTTCTTGATTGAGTCCAACTTTGTTTTCGCAGGTTCACGAAGAATATATGGACGCAAAAACAAACCCAAATGCAAAGGAAACAACACTGGTTGCAAACTTTTTTGTGGTTGGTTGTAAATGTTAAATTACCTTAAACCCGTAGTCATTAATACGTTGGTGGTAGGTTTAAAGATGTGAACACACTTATTGTTGTTTGGTGGTAACACCTACCCAAATTGCGTAAAAGCAACTTAATGACTGCGGGTAGTTCATTTAATAGGTTCGGTGCAATTGGAACGACATATGTATCTGATAAGAGCAATTTTGCTAACCTTTATGGATGAGTAGACATGTAATTGGGTTGGGGCACAAATACAAATGACGAATGTGAATGTATGATGAACTGTGGGTGTGGAAATCAATGACAGTGGGATAGTATTGATGGAAGGTACAATGCATGTGTGTTGGAAATGTCAAATAATGGACGATCAGGGGTACTGAACGGATGACTTGGTGCATGCAAGAAGGAACGAATTTTTGCAAGATGAATTCGGCCAGTTTGAGAAATTAATACGATGTATATCACAATGCATGAGGTCTTCTGCAAACATACAAGTCATGTACCATATATTACAAATACTTACAGCATAGTGTTGTGTAATATTATGAATCTGTACATTCCTTTAAAAAAGTAGTCAGTAAAATAAACCATACACATATTCCTACAAAATGTCCGATTCGAACAAGATTGAAGCTATTGTTAAAGCTCATGTTGCTCATGTATTCCAGCAGTTGCAAGCTATCTACGAAAGGTTGAATGAAGTGGACACACGGTTGTCAAGTTTGGAGCGGCAAGTCGGCGCTATCAAGCAGAACGTTGATTGGCTGACCGATGACAAATTGGTGGCGGACGAAGCGAAGTCTGATAAGACAATGGATGAGGACAGTCAAGCAGACAGTATGGACAACTTTTCAGAAGACGCTGCTGATGATGCAGCAGATATGTAGTTTGATTTATTTTTTTTTTAACCTTCCCTATAAGCCATGAAAGTTTTGTTTTGGCTGGAGTCATATGTGCTAATGGGCTGATATATAACTTACCTACGAAGAGTATTGAGTTTTCATTCATAATGTGGTTTCTTTCATTTTTGAAAATTAATTTTCCCTTTCTTGTAATTAAATTATAAACTAACTTCGGTAACAAAAGCAGCCGTAAATTATATACAGTTACAGTCGCATTCATCCGAACAAGAAACATGCGTAAAGAAAATAGTACTAAGTCAGCAGCCACATCGACATGTTTGATTCATGTTTACATTTGACTTGCACTTTGCAGTTGGTCCATATTTACATCGTCCAGCAAAAACAATACTGGGGAGCCATAATTAACATCCATATTGAAATCAAAGAATAAAAAATTAGTTAAGTCCTATTGCCACCCAAATTACTGGCGTACTGGCAGCCCATTCCCATCACTGGCCTAGCTTGTGGCATTGCTCATATGAAGGCACTCCCGGTACTCTGCGATCTTTGCATTATTGACATCCATAATGATGTCAACCAACAACTTATGATGCACAGAGGGAGCGAACTTTGTACAGAAAGATCATAAGACAAATCAGTTAAAATTGCAGGACATACGAGGAAGGATTTGATTGACAAATGGAAATTAAGCGGTAGAATGTACCTTGTGTGGACCGGGGCTTAAATCAGGTTGCTGCATGAATTTGATGATGAACATCCCATAGTCAAACGTGCTACCAAAATAATTTCACATTAAAGTTGTCGTCAATACTTAATAGGTTCATTAAGTCAGTCATGCAGCATAGACATTAATGTGAGGGAGGGATTGTGGATTACCCGTCCAGTTATTGTACTGGCCTCTCATCTAACATGCAGCGGTGGAAGCTACGCACGTCTGTAACATAATCATTTCCAAAGTGTAGTTGCAGCAAGTCGTGCATAGTTTGAACCTGTTCCACAAGGTTGAACTTGGTTTACGTAAAGGATGTTCAAGTTTTTTGTAGTGTTCAGAAATGCACCAGAAGGACATACCAAAATTTTAGCTGCATTTAGCTTCCTTTTGATGGGACTGAGTCGAATAGGTAGGCTACACGGTCCACCATATCAATTTTAAAGCACAACTAATGCACTCCTCTGTAATTGAAAAGCATGTAAATCTACACGTAAACACAACAGCAGACCTTGTTTAGAGGCCATGCAAACATGTAATGGCTTTCATATTTTCGTTTTAATATAACGGGATGAACATTGATATTACCCTCTGGCATGCATCAATCGCACCAGTGTATCTGTCATGTCCGAAAAATGATGTGACAATATGTTCATGGTGCAGAGGTTGCATATCTTTATTTAGAATCAAAGTCTGCATGTGTAATGCATAAAGGTCATTGACGGAAACATTTGTCAAAATATGTCATACACAATACACAACGTAGCTTTAAACACTTAGTTACCGACAGATATACGGGAAAGAACCAATCAGTGTGCCTCCCGTCATTGTGTAAATCCCTCTGTCGATTAGTCAATTGCACCACCACCAAGTTGATTGGCTGGAACATTGTATGCAAGACACAAGGCAAGTTGATTAGAAAGGTTTCTGAGTTCAGGGGTACTGAAAAACGCAGATTCATATTTGTGCAGCCAACACTTACAGTGTCGGATAACCACGACCCTGGTTTGAGCGTGTGCATGTCACGCCGGGTGCCAACTTCACATGCCCGTCCATGAAGATTCATGGAAACAACAATGTCTCTACAAGCAATAAATAATCCTTAGAACGATAGTTATTTCATAGTGGACTGTCATTTAAAATTTGCAAGTAGTAAATGAAACAATACATTTCATTTTTGCTATCGTCAAATACATAGTGAAGAAGTTTTTGTTCCTCCGCCGATAACAACCCTTCGCTGTCCAACATCGTCAACGAGTCCTACAAAAATAAACAGGCAACTAACAGTACACATTTCATAAAAATATTGAAGCTTACATTACAAGGTCGGTAGTCATAAAAAAGAACGTGAAATAATGTAAAAACTGTGAGCCTCAGAGTTTTCCTAACTTGTGATGTTTGGTGCGGAGTTTGTTAGAAATGTGTAGTAACATATGGCAGCAGTCATAACTGCAAACATGCAATTCTTTGACAACTAGTACAATACAACACAGATGATTGTAAAATTACTGATTCACATTATTGATATGGGCATGAATTGGGTATTCAGAATTTGTGGGGCATTAAAGGCAGTATTTGTACCTTGTTCACGTTGTCCACACCATCAACATCCACAGGTGAACTGTTGTCGTCAACTCCACTATTTGTTTTGCTATCGATGCACAATTGCATATCCCCGACCTCAGTGGCTTGAACTCCACTTCCGCGCATTTTTCCTTTTCCTTTTCCTTTTCGTCTTCCCTTTGCACATCCTCTAACGATTCCAGTTGCTCCCAATGGTTTGCCAAGCTTAGTAGGAGAAGTATGCACATCGCACGCCACGTTCTTCACGCCCACTGACTGGAGGTCAGGACTGTATTTATCTTCAGTTTCATATGTTTCCCCTGACTAAAGGCCTCCCTTCTTGTTGTTGTCCCCACCTTCTTCGATGTTCAGCTTGTGCCCATCATGCAAATGACTTTTGTCCCTTGCCAAGGTTCCCTTCAAAATCTGTTGTTGGTGATCCACCCCTTGTACATTTGAAATATTACACTCCATTGGGTTAACTTCGTCAGATGGTTTGACCACGCCATCGTCATGCGCCTCGACTCTAACAGCAGGGTCCACACCCTGTTTGGCCACGCCTGCCGGTTGCGGTGTAGAGAATATACCTTCGATGAGGTGGTGTAGCATTTGCTGCAGTTCACGTAAATTGGTTTGTTCAGTGAACGGTTCGTTGCAGCCCAAACTGAAACGTTGAAGTAGTTACTTCAGCATTTCCTTCAGTTGAGCAACATTGGAGGAGAGGTTAATGATACACACATCATTGCCTTCCACCTAATCATACATACACATTCGTGAACTTAGTCTTACAAACCATCTTCAAATGATGTGGCTCAACTGTGTGAAAATTGCGTAATGCTTGGATGGATTACCTTGTCATTGCCAACAACTTGCTTGCCTTCGAAATGTCGTAACATCTCCATAAAATCTGTTTGGTTGTGGAGAACTTGCTTCATCATTTCCTTCAGTTCACGAATGTCGGACTCCAAATTGCTCATACGGACTTCATTGTACTGTCCTGTTTGTTGGTTCTCGACATGGCATGCATCCATGTCAGCACCATCGGCGTTACTGTAATCAAACTCCACCTAATCATAGAAACGCATAAATGAAGTCTGACATTGTATGTTGAAGACAAGTGGGTCGATGGTGTGAAATGTGCACAGTGGTAGGAGTGCTTACCGCAATTGTTGGGAAATTTTGCTTCCTTTTGATACGTCGCAGCGTCTCCCGTATTTGGGTATCACCCCAATCATGAAGCCGAGGTGTGGACCGCGTCGTAGTCGAGCTCAGACAAACACAATCAAGGTACAACAGCTGTGGACATTAAGGGGCACACCATAATTAAGTTGTTCTTCCCACAAAAATGAACTATATTCAGTAACAATGACATTCATTATTCTCAATTTTGCAGTGGAACGTACATAGCATACCGATTTTGTTGAGGATGTTGTCAACTTTATAGGCACATATCATGCAATGTTTTTTGGGGAAAAAAATGTACAGCACACCAAGGACTTTATTGATGAAACCAAGAAAAAAAATTTATGTACATGTTCCCCTCTTCGCAACGTAGTTTTAATTGGTTCCTCCATTGAGGTTCGGCATACTTTTTGCCCTGTACTCTTTGTTCTTAAATTCATGACGGTAGTCACACAAAATATATTTCTGCAAGTACCATACTTGGTCAGGAAGAGTGTTGTTTGTCATACTCACAAAGCAGGTACCATTGTATGTCCCAATCAAGGCCAATTTGTTGAACCATGACAGAACAATGCACGACACATATGAAGGGGGGAATGGAAAAAAAAAATCAAGTTATTGGCATACCATTAGCAGGAAAACACATCCAGTTGCACCGCGATGACCTTTGTACTTGCGAACACCGTTGTGAAGGAATTGCAGTGTCAACTTTGCCCAATTACAAGCTCACATACGATTCACATCCTTCACGGCATGAATGAACGATGGCTTCAACCCGGTCATTGTGGTAGGACACAACATGGCCCCCAACACGTACAGCGCAAATTTCCACCGAAACTCGTCCTCCGCACCAGCAGTCTCGGTCAGATAAAGTCTCAACTTGTTCAAAGGAATGACTCCGTTAACAACTCCAACCTCATCGTAGATATTGGGATATGCTTCTAATGACCCAGCCAACTGCACGTCATCGCCTTCACACCATATTCCCAATAAAACATTAACTGCCTTACACGTGAGCCTGACTTGACGACCGTGAACATTCAATGAACTACTGTCAGGATCGAAGTTCTATACCAACCATGCGCACAAGTCGTGATCTATACGTGTACACTTCATCCCCAGGAGGCGAGCAAACCCAATGTCAATGACTGCCTGCTTTTGTGCTTTGTTGAACCGGTTAACTAGTTCAACAATTGACTTCAATGATATGCGGAGTTGCTTTTTACCCTGTACATTTTTTACCCTTAAATTAATACAAAAATACAACCAACAATGTCAGCAAAGCAGGACCTAGCCAAATGCATTTACGAAAACATGAAGTACGTAATGACCTTTCCAGACTTCGGTGCACATGGTACTACTTTGGTGTGTTCCTCAGCGCTCGCTTTAGCCATTTCCTCAAACCTCTTTTTCTCATCAGAAGGGAGTGCCTTCCACCTTTTCACAATCTCCTTTCTAGTCTTTAACCAAGAAAATGACAGACGTACAAGACAAGTAACAACTATGAGTCCAAAATTACTGTAACTACAACTTTATGCCAAACGCAATCCGCGTGCATTGTTGGTAATTAAATAAGATTGCAAATACAAATAACACTTGCAGCAAAAAGTCAACGACAAAACGTAGCTGGACTTTTACAACGAATTGAAATTTACAAAAACAATAGGAAGGTGACATTATTACATGCTAAAATCCTACAAACGCGAAACAATCAGAAGCCCACTACGACCATTCAATACAACGTGTGGATAGCAACCCAGCGATGTGTTTCCATCATAGTGTATTATAGAGAATACAGATTTCAACACTCACCATTTTTCGTCGAGTGTTGTCTGGCCCTTGCATTTCCTTGAATTGTTGCTGGCTGCATGCAAGCATCGTCAAGCTTATCATCACTAAATGTGAAATATGAATACATATATATATATGCAAGTTTTTATGTCATTATGTCAAGGAAATCGGCATAAGACAGCTTTCGTACATCCGGGACTGAATCGACACCAAGTTAAACATTTTCAGACATGCGGAACAAAACCAATTTGAAACATCACAAACTGAACTTCGACGAGGCGCGTAATTTCAGTACGAAATATGTAATTCCAGATTGTCAAAATAAAGAACTAGTACCTGTAACAAATGAATGGTGCAACTGGCCGCTTTCGACAAGAGCCAGCGATAGTGTCAGACATTTGGATATGTTGTTCGGCAATTGTCTTCAATCTTTTCCTTCCCCTTATGAAAGAGCAAATCATACAAATTAGATTGAAGGGAAAATTACAGGGGTGGTGTACACATTTTGTCCGTCGTCTAATTTCGATCGATGCACTTTAAACTACCTAAATTGTGACAGTCCATTTCAAATGTCGTGGACATTTTCGGTCAAATTGCTAATGCCGTTTGTCATTTTTAAAACAAAGATTGTAATGTCAATTGATTCAGATTATGTAAGTTCAGTAAAGTTATAAGTTGACTACAACAAAAAGTACAGTTGCCACGTATATGCATATTTTCTGATACAAAACAGTGAAGAGTTGAAATCAAATGGACGTAATTGAAACAAAAGTTCAAAATTGATGATGCAAAGCGGGGCCATTCAAAATTTGTGCAAAACAAATAACACAAACACAAAAGTACAAGGGCTGCTGTAAGAATTGATCCAGAAAAAAATCAGCGTATTCCTTGGTGATGGATTTCGTTTGTTTACAAACATATGTACGAAACCAACTGGTAGCAAGTCTTTAAGGAGAAAACTAACATTGTTGGTGCGAGGTGACCAATATCCATCAGATGCAATGACGACAACTCCTGCAAAGTATTGCAATCAATATTTACAACAACACAAACAAACGGCTGCAACATGTGGCTGTTAACCTTAAAATTTTGCGTAAACACAGACAACAACACGCAGAATTTCCCAACACATACAGATTTTGAAACAGACAAAAGAAAGGGCACACATGGAAATTTTGCATTTCGTTCACACAGCTTACAATTAAAACAATTATGTGTACAAGCGATAAATGCATAATTTCACAAATATTCAAGAGGAAGGACTACATTGTGTTTTTCATTTAGGGCTGAAGGACTACACGCACATACTTTTATGAAGGCCCGCCTACAAATGACAAAGAAGCAACTGAACTATTTCATGACGGGGTTAAACAATCAGGACACGATTCTTCTGTGACAGAAATTGGTGCTCATCCTAGGCACAAAAACCAGATGAAACCCCATCCATCAAGTTGAGGGCTTCAATTTCCTACTGAGCAACTTGGTTGCAGAGAATCGAGGTGGCTGCATCGTGGCCCATGCTCCATTACCTTCGGGTGGTCAGACAGTGGGCAGATCAGAGAAGAATACTTTTCTGTGGTTGACGTGTCTGTAGGTGAAATCTTTAGGAGGGATCTCAACTGTGCGTGCACATACAGTGTGCACGCACTCTCCGGCCGCTTAAGTTGTTGGCAAGGCCAGCCATCAAGTTGAGGGCTTCAATTTCCTACTGAGCAACTTGGTTACAGAGAATCGAGGTGGCTGCATCGTGGCCCATGCTCCATTACCTTCGGGTGCTCAGACAGTGGGCAGATCAGAGAAGAATACTTTTCTGTGGTTGACAAACAAGTTTCATCAATTGTATGCGACAATGAAACAAGCAAGACTGCCACTGCCTGCCAAAAAATATTACTAACGTACCCATCCATTCTCATTCTGCACGAAGGTCATAAAAAAGACAAATGAGAGTACGCATTTCATTTCTACGCTCAATGAAGTTCAAACAGCCCGCAACTCATGAATGACAGCTACCTTCCTCTTCAAATGTAACTGCTGTATATATATGCAAGATGATAACTTCAACAGAAAGGTAACCGTCATTCAAAAGTTGCGTGCAATGACAGGAAAGGTTGTCCATTTCTACAAATTAGATTTTCTTCGTGAATTGCCTGGGCTTGTTGACTTCTCTGAATTTCTTCACCTCACCCTTACGACAGTTCGTGAAGTTGAAGAACTGAACAACTTCGTTAAGCAGTTGAACATCACCTACGATGGGAGCACACTGTATGTGCACGCACAGTTGAGATCCCTCCTAAAGATTTCACCTACAGACACGTCAACCACAGAAACAGAGGGCATTGACGATGCCCGGATGGACCACATCTTAGAAAAGTTGGATATTAGACAAGGACTGAAGGCAAACTTCTTCCTTAATCTGTTAGGGTTCTCCGACTCAGGTGGGGAGAAGGTATTGGTTTTCAGCCATCGTCTCCGGCCACTTAAGTTGTTGGAAAGGCTAGCCATGAAAGTGAATGCTTCAACTCTTGATTCAGAATTGGGTGTGGGAACGAATAGCTCTCTACAAAATTTGGAAATCGTCATCCTCATTTCAACTCTTTCAATTGGCTTTCCTATGTTTTAAGTTGAATACCGTCAACTATGCATGAACTTCAGCACTGAAAGAAAGAGTTGTTTACTGTGTTACACGGACTCGGGTACGGGTCCCAGGTGCGGTATGCATGTACAGGTCCGACTCATTATATCTTAACCCTACATTCAATGGTACACGGTGTGGGGAAAAAATATCATATTTTTAATCTAATATGTGCCATAAAATGGTACTATATGTAACTCACGGTGTCAAAATCACATTTATAGTAATTTCACAATAATTTGCACATATAATAATTGTGTTTTATACAATTATATAAGAAGTGTCCGTTGAAAAGTATCCGACACATATCCCATACCCTTGTCCGACTCTCAGGTGTCCGACACGGGTATTTGATCTATTTTGAAGAGTCCGTGTACCACAGATTGTTTCTAAACATAAGTTC